ATAGCTCTCCACAACTGGATATAGCTGCTTTCAGAACAAGTACTTGCTAAGCCAGTAAAATGAATTTTATCCACATGAAATCTCATTCATAGAGAAATCATATTGTAGGACATAATTTAAAATTGTTACCATATGAAAGCTAAAATATAAATACAAATCAAATAAAGAAAAATATAGGCTCTTAAATATATCTTGTTAAGAGTCAGCTTACAATATATCTTGTAAGCATGCTGGTCTAGACTTCTATATGGATCCAACATTCTCTAAGCACCTATCTTATTCATACCCCAAAACTATTTTTGAATATACTATGAATTATCCATGATTAGCACCTATCATGGTGAGAAGTTTCAATAGCTGTAATGATTTTGAAAATGTTGCTAGCAGGAGCTCCTGATAGGATTATCCTTGTTGATAAAATCTAAGGAGAGGTGTGGAGCTATAAGTAATCCATAATGGAGTCGAAGGGTTCTGCAGATCTGAGGAAAGTTAGAAAATGTCAAAATGAAATCTAGAAGAAAGCAGTAATAAATCATTTCTGGATTGTTGCCAAGGAAATTATATGAAGATGGGTCAAATCCTTTAGGCAATTTTGGTTGCTAGACAATTAGATTAGGGGGGGAAACCTAGTTACTGGAAAGAAAGGTGAATTTTCACTAGTAGATCTATAGTTGATACGGCGAAACCAAAGTGACAAAGAAGTCTGGTTATTGTTGAAGTCAGAACTGAAAAACAAGTTTATCTTTGACAAAGACAAATAAAACAATGTAATAAGTATGGAACAAACAAAACTTGAAACTATTAAAATGGAATTGAAGCATGCTAAATTAGATATTTTCTGAATCAATCAACATTGGTAGACTGCAATAGATCACCTCAGTTCAGATGATAATGTGATATATTACTCAGAGCATAAATTCATACAAAGAGATGGAATGAAAGTGACACCCTAAAAGAATATCACTAAGTTTGTACTGGCTATGAACCAATAAACAATAGGTTCATATTAATTAGAATTAGCATATATTCATTGAGAGAACATCATTGTTTTACAAATGTGTGCTGCTATTTGAAACATAACAGAAGATATTAAGGAAATCTATAGTAATTTGCAAGAGGTGCTAAATGTAACAGCAGAAAAGATTGCAGTATGTCTGGTGCATAGTTTGTTAAACACAATGATACACTAAATAGTTTAATATAGTTTTTGCAAAGATAATTCTTTGTTCATTGCCAATGCCTGCTTCAAATAATACATGGATATCACTAGATTGACAACATCAGAATACAATTTGTTATAATATAGGAAAAAGAATTGTAAAATCCAATTAGCCAGATCCTTTCCAAGTGCATATTATAGAACACGCTATGTCAAATTCATATGGTGTCAAATACATAGGATAAACATAAAAGTTTTTTAAAAATAGGTGTGCCAGCAAGATTGGATTTGAAGACATATAGTCAGAATATAAAATCAAAATAGAACAAATCAATATGCTTAACTTACGCAAGAGAGTATCTGAGGAATTATGGAACTAGATAAGAGACATTGTGAAAACTGAAGTGGAACAAACTCTTCCCCAAATTTCAAGGCAGAAAAGTTTGAGTGGCTTTCAGAACAAGCTACCATGATAGCTAGGGACAGATGAATGATGAAAGCATTGGTCAAAAAGAAGGAGGTACTGTAGTTAAACTCAAACTTTCAAGAAGAAAAGATAAGGAAAGATATCACAATCTGTAACAGAGGAAATTAACAAGGAAAAAGGAGAGCCTTTTAAAAGATTATAAAAAAAATAACTGCAATAAATCACAGTTAAAGTAGAACTTTTCAAGAGATCTAACAGAAACAAATGAAATTACAGGGAAATGGAAAAATAGAAACTAATAATAGTTTAAAGAGACTGGTAGTACAGAATGGTATAAATATGAGTAGAGTATATTTCAAAATTGACTGTTCTAGAAATTAGACAAGAGGTATCAAATGAAAAAGCAGTTGTATTAAAACTGCAGAAGAAGAAACAATTAAAGTGCTAAGAGTTCTATGTCAACAATGAGCAAGAAACTACTGTAAGAACTGAGTACAATTTAAGCTTATGTTAAATATTAAGACAAAGATATTGTCAATCAACAATGAAGAAGTGAAGATGAAGGAAGCTGTGCTGTCTTATGAGACTTTCTTGTTTGTAGGTTTTATTTTTTTTAATGTGAATTTTGCAACTGAACTATTTAAATAGTATGAAGCAATAACTTTTTTCTGTTTTTATTACTAGTATGTACATCTTCATAAAGTTAGCAACTTGTCCAAGGAACTTTTAATACCAGAAGCCTACCTTGCATTCAGGATGACTGCAGTTTTCTGGTTTGAAATTAATATAGCTGTATTATATTGTAAAATAAACTGATTTTGTATTGACTTTATTGAAACTATTTTTTATAAAATTGAGCTGTAAATAAAAATATACTTTATCAGATTGATATTACATATCATTTTCTTTAGGGTGTTTAGAATACAATGCAAGCACTAAGTCAGAATGTAAGAGGGCCCTTTTCTGTTTAATTTCTATAAAAATCATGTCTCTAAAAGCAGAACAATCTCAAAACAAATAGATGCCAGAACCAGGAACACTACAGATTATGAAGAAGTTATATTAGCATGTTAGCATTTGTTGTACCAAAAGTTATTCTTGAAAAACAATGCAATAGTCATCCCTTAAGTATGAAAGTTGGCTATGTGTCTTTAGACCAGTCACTCTCTCTATGCCCAATCCACCAAATAGGGTTCATATTGTGGAGAAAATAGAATTGGGAGCACTAGGTATTTGCATTGCCTTGAGTTGAACCAAAAATAAATACCAGTTTTAAAAAAATCAATCAGAGATATAAAAAGATAAATACCATACATTATTGCAAAATTACCAAGATCTCCAAATTGAACGGATAAAGCATTTTTTTAAAAAAATTGATTTATATGCCGCCCTTCTCCAGAGACTAAGGGCGGCTTACAATGCGTTAAGCAGTAGCCTTCATACTTTTGTATATTTATACAAAGTCAGCTTATTGCCCCCACAAACTGGGTCCTCAATTTACCTACCTTAGGAAGGATGGAAGGCTGAGTCAACCCTGAGCCTGGTAAGATTCGAACTTACAGTAATTGCAGACAGCTGGTGTTAATCACAATGCTATCAGTCTGCTGAGCCACCAGGCCCCTATTTTACTGAAATAGGTTAGTAGTTATATGATACAGGTATCTTCAACACACTGGTGCCTCCAGATGTATTCAATTTCAGTTCTCATAATCTCTCAACCAGCGTGACTATGGATAACAGACTCTCCACATGAAAATTTCAAATGCTGTGAGAGTCCTTTGGGTTGACTACATCAGGAAAAAGATTACCCAGAAAGACTAGAACTATACTTTATTGAGATGGGCCATAAGAACAGAATCTCTCAAGTTTGATCATACTTGTACTTTACTTGTCCACCCAATGAATCAGGTAGAATCCTGCCCAAGTCTCTTCTGAATATTATTGTTGACCCTGAAGCTGATATATGTGTAGCCATGTTTTATTGTAGTCATTTCCTATTCTTTTCCTAAGCTTTTTCTAGGTATTCTGTAAGGGGATCTAACACGGCTTCAGGCTCGCCACATTCTAGCAGTAGGAAGGAGGGTTGCAGAAATAAGGGGGGATGTTATGGCTAGGTTGCATTCTTTCCCATGGGAACAGAGAATGTGCCTGCAGATCAGAGGTGGGTTTCAGCAGGTTCTGACCAGTTCTGGAGAACCGGTAGCGGAAATTTTGAGTAGTTCAGAGAATTGGTAGTAAAAATTCTGACTGGCCCCGCCCCCATCTAATCTCTGCCTCCCAAGTCCCAGCTGATGGGATGGAAATTGAGATTTTACAGTATCCTTCCCTTGCCACGCCCACCAAGCCATGCCCACCAAGTCATACCACGCCCACCAAGCCAAACCCACAGAACCGGTAGTAAAAAAAATTGAAACCCACCAGTGCTGCAGATGGCTGAAGGTGGAATTTGGAGTCACCGGACAGTGGACTGTGAGCTGATTGGAGAATGTGACTCTGGGGCGAAGATTCAAACTTTTGCTTTTTACTGGGTGTAATTCCAGGGTTTGGTCAGTGTCAATTTACATCAAGACCTTGCCAATTTGAAATGTTCCTAGTAAATGGACTTTGATTGAATAAGACTGCCTAGGATTTTTCATTCAGGGAATGTATTATTTGGAAGCTTGACAATTATCTTATTTCCTTAAGGACCTAAGGAATGTTTTAGTCACCTTGGCTTTTATAACTTTTCTTGCTGATTCCCTTCAAGGTCATTTCACTGATTCACTACAGATACTATTTTATTTTTTTCATGCTGCTAAGTAGAGGTAGGGTTCTTACTACCTGTATGAACACCATAATTTATACTGGCACAATTAAAGATATAATAATTTAGTGCACATATTAACGATTAAGTTTAAATGGATTAAAGTCAAAAAAATTAAGAAAAATGATTGGGAAGGGCTAAGGTTAACTTTAGCTGTTTTGCACATTTATAAGTTTTCATATGGAATAAGATTATTATGATGGTGGTGGTGGTAGTGATCTATCAGATAGTAGATTGAAATAATAAGTGAGATGGGCATTGTTACTAGTGAAAATTTAGTTTTACTTCAATCATCAAATTGGGGTGTAAATAAACTTTGATTGATTGTTTAAATCACAGTTTAATGAACAATTATTGCTCATTTGTATTGTCCTTTAAATACTTCTAAGGAACATTCTAGTTATATAGGAAGTCACTATAACTGGACCACCTGACCCCATACAGATGTCAAGAGCACTGATTGGCCCCTATCCCAAAAAGAAACGTATAGCATACAACGTTTGAAGTCACCCTCAATTTAATTAAACAATTTTTTAACAAAGATGTGGAAATTCTTATGAAGTAGAAGCATATAAATCAAACACAAAATGTACTGTATAGATATTTCTTACCTTGCAGGATACTTTTTACAATACTTTCTGTGTGTTCCACAAGAAGCTCTGCTTTACTGATTGCAGCAAGTGAGAGGTAACTGGATAAATTCCTGCACAATTCTTTGTTACCTCTCTGGAGAAACTTCACTGCCACTGGGACAGCCAATGCTATGATGGGAGGGCGATTATAATTCTTTGGGGGGGAGGGAAAGAGAACAAAAATAGAGTTACAAATTATTGCACGCACATTCACTTTGGTGTTCTTATTATTGCATCTGAAAATATCATGAATTTTCATCAGGTGTGTAGAAACAAACTATTTTGAATTACCTTTACTACAATGAAATATAAACGTAAAGGCGTACTGTGGAATGTCATGTTTTTCTATCGCTTAAATGATGAAATATAAATTTCATATTTACGAAGAGTCACTTTGGATAGTGAGATGGGTGGCATATAAATTTAATAAATAAACAAAATAAAGAATCTGTCTCTAAGTGTAATAGTGAACAAGTCAGTTGGATCAAGATTTTTCATTTGACAAGGAGCCTAACAAAGGAGTTGACCACAAGATACTTTAAGGAATGTGGTTAAGAAAAGGAAGCACTAAAAGAGAAAGATGTATTTGCCTGGATTCACACTATACCCAAATCATAAATCATGATTAACAAGGCACATTGGTTGAGTTTGTACTCAACCATACTAAGATTAGACTACAAACAAACTGAACTGTAGCCTAGCCTGATATGTGAAACCATCTTAAAGCTACGGGTTTATTTTGTTCTTTCCTGGATTTTTAAGTTTCCTCTGGCTTATTTTTTTAGTACACTTCCAACTGGTCATGAGTTTTCTATGTTCTACTTTAATATACCAGCAATAACATTATAAATATAGACAACCTAACAAAACTGAGGTAAAATTTTGATCACATATATTTTCATCAAGTATAATTGATTTGATGGTAGTTAATATATCTTCATCAAAAGAGTCTTTACAGTAAAATGAAGACAATGGAGCCTTGTTCTACTTATTAAAGAACTACTGTTTTGAAAATCAACATCTGTTTAGGGCCTAGATTTTAACATTTGTTTAAAATGCATACTTGGACCTGATCCTAGAGTTCTGAAGCTGAAATAAAAATAATTGAGCCTTGAGGAGTTTTAGATGGCATTCCATTGATATGAACCAGGTTCTAATTATATGGTGTTTCCTTCTGAATGAAAATAGATTAATATGATTTTCATATGATTAATATTAGTTTAAGATAAATAAACCTTTAGTATGACTTCTGAACTAACCAGCAGAGCCCACGCCCACCCCCCAAAAATCCCATTATGAATAACTTTAGTAATGACAGGTTTAAAATTAGCTATAGTTCTCAATTTAGATGGACAACTAAATATTACTATGAATATAATGCCTAAAAAAAGACTTTCTAGTTAATACAAGTTCACGTTTAATAAATAAACATGCATTTTTGATTCAGTTTCATGTCTTGTTGTCCAAATGAACAAAGAAATTATTTTGGGTTCTAATTATATTACCTTACTGCTAATCTTTAGTGATATGTAGTGGAATTTGCCCTTTTTTCAAATTATCCCAGTTTTGCAATGTTAAATGTATCAATTGGTGTAAAAACGTACATGACCTGGTGTATAGATTTTGCTTCCTTTCTTATCATATAATAGAGTTTAATTAGAAGCTGTGGTTAAATAATTTGACTCCAGAAACTTATCTTAATTGAAATATCATCAAAACAGTGCCTCTGTGCTGAATATTCCACTTAAACCTGCAAAATGTGCAGTAAAATTTACTCCAAGGCTAGTTATCAAGCTATGTTGTTATGTTTATGAAACATAAAGGGGACCATGCACAACTTAATGGTATGAAGTCATAGGTAAAAATTCTTATACATCATAGTTTGGAAGAATTGAGCATAGGGATGACATTTTCATTGACACATATATAGTTCTGCTTGCCAATTTCTGAATTTTCAAACACATAGCAGAAAATTATTAATCTGAAATATATTTGACCACTTAAAATAAATATTATTTTGAACACATATTTACAAAGTAGTCCAGGTAGTCCTTGACTTATGACCACAATTGAGCTCCACATTTCTGTTGTTAAGTGAGACATTTGTTAAGTAAATTTTGTCTCATTTTATAACATTTCTTGCCACAGTTGTTAAGTGAATCACTGCAGTTGATAAGTTAGTAACCTGGTTGTTAAGTGAATCTGGCTTCCCCATTGACTTTGCTTGTCAGAAGGTTGCAAAAGGGGATCGATCGCATCACCCCAGGATGCTGAAATGGTCATAAGTATGAACCAGTTGCCTAGCATCTGAATTTTGATCACATGATCATGGGAATGCTGAAAAAGTTGTAAGTGTAAAAACGGTCATAAGTCACTTTTTTCAGTGCTATTGTAACTTTGAATGGTCACTAAATGAACTATTGTAATTACGTCAAGGACTACCTGTATTCAGAATGTTTTCCAAATAGCAGGAATGTCCAGTGCTTTGGCTCTGAAGTTGAAAAGGTGCTTAACAGGAGGCATGGATAGGAATTGGATCGGCTGCATTTTTGCCCCAGGATTTCACAGTAGCCACACAACCTCAGAAAAATATGCATTTCAGTTGAGATAGCACCAATATTTGCTCCTTAACTTAACCCACATTTTTTGAGAAATCACATGACTAGTCTATGAAAAAGTTGCAGGATCTTTAAGGGGAAATCAAGAGATATATTTTCATATCTAAAACTCTTTTTTCTACTTCAGACTATAATGCAGAGCACAATCCAAGAAAGTACTTTTCATGAAATCTAATTAAAGGAAGACATTCTTCCAAAGGAGAAGAACATTTCAGAGGATTTCTCATGGATGAAGTATCCTTGTACTTATTTTGCTATATGGTGGCCAGGTGGTCGATGTGAAGTTCTTGCCTTTTTTATGATTTTCTCGTGCTTCCTTTCTATATCAAGGAAATGTATCGAGGGAACTTCTCCCATCCTCCTTTTTCAGCATATTTACTACTGTAACCACAAAACGAATCTTATCCATGATAAATTGGATAACATAATTTCTCTGTCCCTTGGGGAAAAAAATTGAAAAAATCATCCATCCAACTTTTCTACTATAAATTTGGGGGAGACTGTTTGTGTACAATTCTATTACAAAAAAGAACCAATCAAGATACCCTCAAAAAGGTACATTATCAGGCAAAACAGCCTCACCTGCAAAATGCAGCTCATAATATCAGAGGCAATCTTTGCATGCGGTGTGTCTTCATCTTTACAAAAAGGTTTCAGATTGTGCTCTAAACATGACTCCCAGAGATCAATAAGAGCTTTTCCATGCTTCTCGATGGATTCTGTCTCCCTGATGGCTGAAGTAATTCGAGTGATACAAATCTCCACAACTGCTTGGTTGTTGTCATTCGTCTGGTAGTCCTGATTGAGATAAAATATGATAGCAGTTGGAGACTCTCCTAGATATCTGTCCCAAAGACCATACCTGGAGGAAGGTGTTTATTCACACAAAGACATTGCCTAGCATTTAGACTGGCAGCGAAGCTGGTTCATTGTGACTGAAAGCACTTGACTAGACTACACTAAAACCAAGATCTTAATTTGCACACTTTAAAACGTGTTAAAAATTTCAAACATTTGGCCAGGGTGTTTCATAGTTATGCCAAACCCAGCACACGATGAAATTAAGGTAAAGGTAAAGGTTCCCCTCGCACATATATGCTAGTGATTTCCCGACTCTAGGGGGCGGTGCTCATTTCCATTTCAAAGCCGAAGAGCCAGTGCTGTCCAATCACGTCTCCATGGTCATGTGGCCGGCATGACTAAATGCCAAAGGCACACAGAATGCTGTTACCTTCCCACCAAAAGTGGTCCCTATTTTTCTACTTGCCTTTTTTACGTGCTTCTGAACTGCTAGGTTGGCAGAAGCTGAGACAAGTAACGGGAGCTCACCCCGTTATGTGGCATTAGGGATTCGAACCACTGAACTGCCGACCTTTCAATCGACAAGCTCAGCATCTTAGCCACTGAGCCACCGCATCCCTTCATGTTTGAGCAACTACTGCATTGAAATAACCTGCTCAATTGGATCAATTTGTTCTAACAGGGCTATGTTTCTAAATAGCCATGCCCCTTTGTTTAACAGATTTAACAGAGTAACAGAGTTGAAAGGGACCTTATAGGTCATCTAGTCCAACCCCCCGCTCAAGCAAGAGACCCTACACCATTTCTGACAAATGGCAGTCCAATCTTTTCTTGAAAGTCTCAAGTGATGAAGCTCCCACAACTTCCAAAGCCAAGCTGTTCCATTGGTTGATTATTCTCACTGTCAGAAAGTTTCTCCTCATTTCTAGGTTGAATCTCTCCTTGATCAGTTTCCATCCATTATTTTTATAATTACATTGTAATTATATATATATACATATATATATATACATATATATACACATACATACATACATACACATACATACATTCATACACATATACATATATAAAATGTACCGTATAAGAGTATAAGACACACTTTTTTCTTCCCTAAAAGAGGCTGAAAATTTGGGTGCGTCTTATACTCCGAATGTAGCTTTTTCGAAGCCTTTTTTCAGCCCTAAGAAGGTGCTAGATCTACCTCTCTCAGATGTGCTTTAGAAGCTTTTTTTCAGTGAAGCGATCTTCCCCCGCTCCCTCCGACTCTCAGCTGTGAAGTTTTTTTCAGCCCTAACGAGGCACTAGTGAGTGAAGTGACCTCCGTGGTTTGTCTGCTTTTCTCATTGCTTCTCTCTCCAAATATCAGTTGTGCTTTCGAAGCTGTTTTTTATCCCCAAGCAGAGGATAAAAACCAGCAAACTAATGTGCTGAAGCTTACCAGACTAAGGATGCTAGCCAGATGAATATCTGGTAGGCAGATTTTTTTTCCCTATTTTCCTCCCTATAAACTAAGCTGCCTCTTATACTCCGGTGCGTTTTATACTCTGAAAAATATGGTAATTATAATTACAGTGGCAAAACACTTAAATAACTCTTCCTAAACTCTGAAGAGCACTAACGTTAGCATGTTTTAATATCATCTCAGCTGCTGTTGTTGAGGGAGAATATTTATTTGTTTGTTTGTTTATTATAAAATTTATTGCCTGCTCATCTTACCAAAGGGAAACTCTGGGTAGCTTACAATCATAAAAAATGAAAAGTTTGCAGAGATAAAAACATAAATAGGATACAACACACAGCCAAGTATAGTGACCCAATTAAAAGATGGGAAAGCGGGAGCAGGTTAGGAGGGAAGGTGGGATCTGTGGTTAATCAACCAACCATCTCCATTGTGATGCTCCCCCATTGGAGCCTCAAGCCAGAGTCAAGTCTTTAGGCTCTTATGGAAGGTCAGGAGGGTTTATTTCAGGGGTGGGTTCTACTTACCTTTACTACCAGTTCGTAATGGGGCCACGCGCGCATGCGCAGAAGCTTCCCGATGACGTCAGGATCAGTGGGCGGAGCCTCCAATCGGTTTTACTACCGGTTCTATAGAACCGGTCCAAACCGGGAGCAACCCACCACTGGTTTATTTATCCTTTTACTGTCTTAACATTAAATACTATTTTTTCTGTGTCAGAATCTTTACCTTTTTAAAAGTATGCATTTTAAAAGATCTTCCTTCTTTCATTTGTATTCATCTTTATTACTGCTGTTTTTTCTTCTAATTTAACCTTTTTGAATTTCTATTCTAATTAAACTACCGTGAGAATTTTCCTAAAGGTTTTAAGAGTTAAATAAGCAAATTAATAATGTATAAAGTTCATGTAATTCCATCTTTAGAAAAAGATAAGAAGCAAGGAATTTCAATATTGAGTGAGTATCTTTATGTGAGTATCTTTATGTATGAAGCACCTCTAGCAGTTCATATTTCAGGGATCGCTTTTAGAACAGAACACCCTTATAAGTAACTGTAACGTAATTCCTTCTCCCACTAAGAAAACAAGGGGGGATATTTGCCTAAATTCTGGATTGTTGCCCTCTCCACCATTGGTGAAATATATAGGAAGGAGTTTTCTGGAAGTTTTTTTGTTTTTTGAATCTTCCTGGGAGCAGAACAGACTGAGTGGAAGGAAAAACCTGAAGCTCACAGATTACAAATTGTAATTCTTTCTGGAATCCATATAAACATCTAAGGGCAATAAGTAATTAGTGCTTTTGAGATCTGATTTTATTTTGGATATGTTCAGTCTTGCTTGATTTCTGATGAAGCCATTTCCCCTAAGGCTAAATTCCATTTTGGATGGTACTATGCACGATTCCTTTGCTTACATTTACCCTGTTGATGCTGGTCGTTTTTCTCTACTGGTAATCCTAACACACAACCATTTCTGCTGCTCTGTGGTTTATTAAAGTAAAGGTCAGTTTCTACTTCAATAGAGAAGGCTGTAATCTAGTAATAGAGCTGAGAAGGCTGAAGTGCCTGCAGATTGACCACCATTTACTGTGGTTAAACAGTCTTTGTTCATTAAGAGAAAAGAGAAGGCATTTTTATTCTTTGACTTTGATTCTAGATTTCTGGTTGAAAAGAGGCAAAAATTGTACCATAATTTCAAATTATGGAAATCAGTAATTGCTGCACCACCCTGACTTATCTTGATTGTTGAGATTCTTACAATATGCAGAATGAAGCTAATCCTTGGTCCTGTGATAACATGGTTAGACAAGACAAGAAATGTACACTGGTTTACAATCAAGAATAAGACAGGATGATCAGCATTTCAGTAAAAACCCAGGAGTTAGGCAACTTTCCAAAGATAGACCTATTCTGACTGTACTTCCTCTGCTGAGAATTACAATGGCTGGCATTTAGTCCAATGTTTAACAACACATCTTTTCAGAAACTCATTCTAACTCTGCAAGGAGTTACAAGGGCTTGCTGGAACATGAGGCATTTAATAATGAGTATACAGGTTCTTGATGGAACCAAGTTTGGGATTAGCTAATTTTAGAGGTTAAAGATTGATGGACATGGACTCCATAATATAACCTGCTGGCTCTTGTACTCGAATTTGGTTCATTTGAGCACTAATTGTTTCTTATACAAATATTTATGAGATTATGTATATTAGTTTTCTAAAGAACAAAAGGAACAAATCATAGAAATTGTACTCATAGTTATCAATTACCACCAAGTGGTCTAATTTATGATGTTCTGTGGACCATTACAAACATTATGTTGCTGCAGGATGAAAGTGCTTTATTGAAGAGACTTAATCCAGATCCTTGGTCATTGCTAACAGTAATGATGTACCATCTCAGCTCCAGAAATATTTCCATCCATTATGTTACAGGAAGCAGGCTCTGAAACGTATCTAGTTTAAAGGTTTTATCAGGAGGTTTGACACAGAATTTGTCATGGTGCTGTGAGAGAGAAAAGTGAATGCGGTTAAACAGTGAGAGACCTAGGGCCATTCTGAGAGTGAAAGCAGTCCAGCTGGTCCTGATAGAACTGAAGCCCCACTTGTAAATATTATATAAACCACCCTAGTCTCCACACCCTGAAGTATTAAGTGTGGAGAACATTTTCCAACTGGACAGAAAATACTAGCAGCAATATAGAAACTTGGCAACTGTTTGGCTGCCTATAGCAAAGGAGTTTCCAATTTTATTGTAGCCTGATCTCACTAGCAATTTGGATCTAAAATTAATTAGAAAGACTGTCTATGACAGGAAGAAAAAGTATGTGTCATGATATGTTGCATTCTCCATCATGACATGTGTTCTCCTTCACTAGAGATCTTTAGACAGGGGTATCAGAGTATCAGAGATACTCAAGTGTATCCTGCATGGATGAGAGGTATGGATTGGATTATCTCTGAGGACCCTTCCAACTCTAAACTGTGTGTTGGACAACTGAAATTAAAAATAATGAACCAAGTAAATATAATAATTTGATTCCCTTGTCCTTCCTTTCTGTGCTTGAACTTCTATAATTATTTGTTTTTATACAAAAAATGAATTCAGTTCAAAGACTGTACAGTAATTTAAGTTTTCTATTGCTGCACTAAAAAATAATTTATCACTTGTCATTTATGATAAGTCTATGTAAATCAGATTGTTAAATCAGAATGAAAGGGACAGTCTAATCCAATGTTTCCAAAATAGCCAGATTCTTACCAAAGGGATATTATGATTATTTTGGAAAATGTATTTATTAACCTAATTTAAATAATTTTTTTAAAATTAAAATATCTGGATATCCAAAAAGAAAAAAGAACTACAGGAGAATTAGCTGTACCCCTCTGTCTGTTTCAGTTTAAAGGATTCTACCCTGGACTGTCAGACAAACCAGTCCTTTTGTGAAAGAAGACAAATGAAACAAGATAGCTGAAGGAAGAAGTGAGGGATAACTGAACCCCCAAAGCTGTCTGAGGAGTATACAAGCAATGAAGAATGGAGAATGGGTCACAACAGAAGGCACACCTCAAGAACATGAGGGAACGCTAAGTACAAGTAGATGCTCAGAACAATGACAGTTTCTCCAGAAATTAAATCTGGAATGTTGGTAATCCAGAAAATTGGCCAGTACAGCAGCCTCAAGAAGTAGGTCTTTAGAAATAACATCCTTTCCAAAGTATTGTATTAACAGTGGGAAGGGATCTACTAGATTCTCCAACATCCCATCTAACAGTAGGCCCAAGCACCAGACCACACATTCCATCTTCTGCATACTTGCAAGTGACTTTGGGGAAAGTTGGCTGGGAACAGCAGCATAAATTTCATACTGTGAGATAGGAACCTTAGTCTAAGGTGTGGGGGATTGCTGAAGAAATACAATAAGATTTTCAAATGGAAAAAAAATATAATTGTACAAGACTGTGGTGGGATTCAAATTTTTTTACTACCGGTTCTGTGGGCATGGCTTGGTGGGTGTGGCAGGGGAAGGATACTGTAAAATCTCCATTCCCACCCCTCTCCAGGGGAAGGTTACTGCAAAATTCCCATTTCCTCCTGATCAGCTGGAACTCGGGAGGCAGAGAATAGATGGGGGTAGAGAAAGTCAGAGGTGGTATTTACCGGTTCTCTAAACTACTCAAAATTTCCACTACCGGTTCTCCAGAACTGGTCAGAACCTGCTGAAACCCACCTCTGGTACAAGAGTAATTAGATTACTGGTGTGATTTTAAAGACTTTAAAGCTTAGAAAAATTATCTAACTACAAACAAAACTGGATCTTCAGTTGTTGGACAAATCAAATGCTGTATTTTGTAAAATGTCTAGTACTAAAAAAAGAAAGAAAAAGAAAGCTGCTCATTGGATTTGCTTTGCCTCTGCCTGAGTCTGACCCTATTCCCAAATCTCAACCACAGTGCATCAATTCCTGAAAAGTGTGTCACATCTGGAAGCGTTACCTAATCTTTAGAACCACCTAAGTCAGCACCCACCACAATATCCTGAAGTAATGAATTATATAATTTAGCTATAGAAAAAAGTATTTCCTTCAGTTGCTCTATGGGAAGGAGGGAGGAATCCCCTAGTCCTTGGCTGAACGTCATATTTGATATTTATCTGCACCATATATATCTACACCATTCATCATTGATCATAACTGATCGTGCCCATGAGGAAACTAGATTTCTTAAGGTGGAAATGGCATAATTCTATTCCACTTTGCTATGGGTCTATGTAAATATAATTTAAAAACTCGCTGCTGATTTTACCTTCTCTCTTAATAAGGTCTTAGCATAATATTTTGGAATTTAAGGGGGCACATATGGTTTCTTTTTAAAATTCATTTGATTATAAACAATTAGAACTTATCAGGTAGTCCTCGCTTAGCGACTGGCCATTTTATGATTGTTCAAAGTTATGACAGCCATGTAATGGAATGCTTTATGGCCCATAAAGCATCCCTAGCTGTCATAAGTGATCATGTCACACCCTCTATGGTCACGTGACCACATATTGGGTGGGTCAGCTTTACAAACTGTCACGGCATTCCACAGTCATGTCCTTGCAATTTGTGATATTTTTTTTTGCCAGTTTCCAGCATTTTTTCAGTTTCCAGCAAAAAACAAAAAATCCAATCACATGAATGGGTTCACTTGATGATCATGTCATTTCCTTAATGACCTCCACATTTTCTTAATGGGACAGCAGCATTTGCTTAACAACTGCCATGAAAAAGGCCAGAAAATTATTCCCAGTGAGTGGGTGACTTACAACTGCAACAATTTTCAACCATAATTCCAGGCTCAATTATTATAATAAGTGAAGGAATACCTCTATCTAACCCAATATAATAAGATTAATTAGTACAAGTTGTTTTTTGTCAGAGGAATATCAACAACACTTGCTTATTTACAAGAATAATAGTTTTACTTTTTCACAAATCCCTCTTCTCTTTCCCTTTCCTTTCTGTCTTACTGACATTGCTCCTATTCCCAAAGCTCACTCTCCAAATTTTCCTAGCTTTTCTCCACATGCCTTAAAAGAACGGCCCACTTACACTCCTTCCTTTTTCCCAAACCACACATTCTCATTAGAAACAGTGAGCCTTAATACTCATTGCTGTATTTGTTCTAGTCTATGTCGGCAATCTGAATGCTATTCCTTTTAAAAATGTTTCTCAGTTGTGAGATATTGAAGAATGCATAGATTTGCTATTAAGTTTGCATTCTATTCTGTGAAATGTTCACCATTCTGAACATTTAAATCATTTTAAAAGTTGTTTTAGCTCAGTTATGCATTATTGCTGCCCTCAAGTGGAAACTAATGGCAAATGTTTTCTCCACATTGTCTGATGTTCTATAATAATACTGAATTCAACAGTGGTAGTGGTACCAATGAGATAAGACAGTCACTTAGATTGATTCATTATTCCACACATATATTTCAAAGTTACCAAAGGTTTCCTGCTGAAATTTGAAAGGGATTTTGTGTGTGTGTGTGTGCACCCACGCAAACGTGTGTACCTGAGTGGGGCATACTTTTGAAAGAAAGAATTCAAAACAAGGGATGCTTGGTAAGTAACTATTCTTAGAACATATATTATCCTGTAAACCTCTCGAGAAAATCAATAAATGCTCATCACGGGCATCATTTTAATATTCTTTAACACTGGCCAAGGAATGCAGAATGTCTTGTTTTCTTCTACTGTGCTTCAAAATGTATTGTTTTCAAGTCAGGTTATAAGCCATCCAGTCAAAGATACAAATCCTAGGTGCATGTGATTCATATTAGATAATTTTTGGCCAGTCTGCCAAATTTCTCAATAATAATAAATTCTAAGATGCATAAATCTGAAGACTAGTATAATTCATGTGTCATCTAGCAGTTGCATATACTTGGGCCATATGCCTTTAGCACAAGAAACATTAAGATGTATTTAATATTTGAGTTTAAAGGCCGGATACCAAGGGTATTTTGTATGAAAAATATTTTTCCTAAACAATGAAATGTTTTGTATGATACCTGATTTCTAAATGTTATTGACACATTCTGCTATCCTTGCAATCACTCAATATTGTTTTGCTTTTCACTTATTGCCTAAAAACAAGGAATTATTATTACATTCACGACTTCAACAAAAAGGTTCTAAAGAATAATTATAGAATGATTGATTTATTCATTATTTATCAAATTTACTTGCTGCTTTTATCTATGGAGATTCTTAGCCATCCAGGTCATGGTTGTCCCAAAAGTGTTTCTTCAAGAGGCAATTGGATTTTCTGGTTTCCATCTCTGACTGGATTAACCACTTCATAAACACATGGCACAACATAGGAGAACAAACCACTGGGGTCCGGTTCTTGAGAACTGGTAGTAAAAGGGTCGGGAGGCTCCGCCCACCCATCTGGATGTCATAATCTGTGCATGCGCAGAAGTGTTGGTGCTCCCGTTGCAAACTGGTAGTAAAGGTAAGTAGAATCCACCCCTGGAACAAACCCATCAGGACTAGATTCAGCAGTCCATCTGCATTTAAAAAACAAAGCCTACTCTTTTGAAGACAGCAAAGTCTGGACACATTTTTCACAGAGAGGACTCTGGTTTGAAAGAGGGGTCAAAGAAGCCATCTATGTCAAAACTGAACTGCCTTCTCTAAACAGAGGGGGAGGGATATGATATCCTCTATCTCCAGTCTACAACACAGTCCTTTCAACAGTTACAAAAAGGCTCCACACCCATTTGTACCACTCAGGTGACCCTGATGACCCTGCTAAATCTCCAAGTGACCTTAATGATTCTCTAAAAGAATGCAAATGACCAGCTGTCTGCAAGGAATATAAATCCTTCCATTCCCCACCATCAAGTCAGAGCTGAAGAAGCTTCTTGGATGAGAAGCAAAACGTCTTCAATGAAAACCCAGAAAGTCCAGTTTCCTCTTGAAAAAGCACCTTTGGGATTTGTTGCTTTTCTTATGGTTCGAGGCGACTCCGATTTGAACAAACAGAAAATATTTTCAAATAATTTTGCTTCCTGCTGATTTTAGTTTCAGGCACTGACACAACTGATATGCTACCTTCCCAAACTTTCTGAAAAGTAATCATAGCTGCTCCAGTGGTGGGTTTCAAATTTTTTTACTACCAGTTCTGTGGGTGTGGCTTGGTGGGCGTAGCTTGGTGGGCGTGGCAGGGGAAAGATACTGTAAAATCTCCATTCTCACCCCACTCCAGGGAAGGAGTAAGGGCCTGGTGGCTCAGCAGACTGATAGCATTGTGATTAACACCAGCTGTCTGCAATTACTGTAAATTCGAATCTCACCAGGCTCAAGGTTGATTCAGCCTTCCATCCTTTCTAAGGTAGGTAAATTGAGGACCCAGTTTGTGGGGGCAATAAGCTGACTTTCTATAAATATACAAAAGTATGAAGGCTATTGCTTAACACATTGTAAGCCACCCTGAGTCTCCGGAGAAGGGCGGCATATAAATCAAATAATAAAAAAAAATCCATTCCCTCCCCAATAAAGGGGAAGGATACTGCAAAGTCCCCATTTCCTCCCGATCAGCTGGGACTTGGGAGGCAGAGAATAGATGGAGGCGGGGCCAGTCAGAATTTTTACTACTCCGTACTACTCAAAATTTCCACTACTGGTTCTCCAGAACTGGTCAGAACGTGCTGAAACCCACCTCTGAACTGCTCCCAACTTTACTGAGGCTACAGTTTTAATTTATTTGTAATTTATTTTCTTGAGCTTCTGCAGCTAACTCTTCATTCATTCATTCATCCATCCATCCATCCATCCATTCATTCATTTATTTAAATTTATATTGCCACCTACTCATACAAGGCGGCTTACACAGATTTTCTAACCCATATTCTGCATTGCAAAGAATACGAAAAGTTCTACTTACAGGATATGAACTAATTAGTTTGATTTGCTCAAGGGCTTCGGATAGGCATCCTTCTATTTCAGAATCGTCCAAAGAAAAGAGTTCCCCAGCACGTGAAAGATCTTTTTGTTCCAAAACAAGTCTTAGAAGATGGTGCATAGTTGATTCTGCCAATGAGACTGAATCTGGTATGTGACCCTTCTTTCAATTAAGGTTAGTGACATATAAATCCATAACACGTCAGGTATTCCTTTTCTATAAATGTTTCTTCAAATCTTGAGACCTTTTTGGCCATGAGCTGAGGAAAACAAAGGACCTCATTAACAACACATACTGATCGGTGGTGAAATTAAAAAAAAAAATTACTACCGGTTCTGTGGGCGTGGCTTGATGGTCATGATGTGGCTTGGTGGGCGTGGCTTGGTAGGCGTGGCAGGGGAAGGATACTGCAAAATCCCCAATCCCTTCCCACTCTGGGGCCAGCCAGAGGTGGTATTTGCTGGTTCTCCAAACTACTCAAAATTTCCGCTACCAGTTCTCCAGAACCTGTCAGAAACTGCTGAATTTCACCCCGATACTGATGGGGCTTTTTAAATGGATTTAAAATGGATTTTAATTGATTTTAGGGATTTTATGTGTAACTTTTAACCCGGAGTTTCTGTTTTATTTTTCTGTTTTATTGTTGTGAGCTGCCCTGAGTCCTCTCAGAGAAAGGGTGGCATATAAGTCTAAACAAATAAATAAATAAATACTGGTTTGTAAACTATAGGAAATCCTCAACGTACAATCATTCATTTAGCAACTGTTCTAAGTTACAGTAGCACTGAAAAAAGTGACTTTTGACTGCTTCTCACACTTATCACTGTTACAGCATCCCCCTGGTCATTTGATCAGAATATGGCGTTTGGCAACCTACTTGTATTTATGGCAGTGGGAACGTCCTGAGCTCATATGATCACTATTTGTGACCTTTCTGGCTGGTTTCCAATAAACAAAGGGAATGGGGGGGATGCTAGATTCACTTAACGGCCATGTGATTCACTTAACTGCAGTGATTCACTTAACAACCATAGCACAAAAGATCATAAAATTGGGTGTGGCTCATTAATCTTACTTAGCATCTTGCTTAGTTAGAAATTCTGGTCCCAATTGTGGTTGTAAATTGAGGACTACCTCTGCTACATTTTTTTTTAAAAAAAAGAGTTATACTGTATAATATTTTAATATTCCATTGGCAAACTCATTTGAAGGCATGCTTAGCTATACAATCTATAACTTTTGAAAGGGCACTTATGGTAAAATTTTGGAGCAAAACTGTAAATAAAGCATCTTCACTTTACCTGAAATATTCACACCTGAATAAGAGAAATATTCACACCTGAATAACAGTGGTTAATTTAGTGGCGACACTGATTTTCACAAAAGTGAACATAGCACAGTAGTAGTCCTAGAGGCGTTCCACATGCTTTCAGAGCAAATGAAGGAATGTAAATTCCATTGGGTTATATCTGTGATGTGTAGCAAAGTAACCCCCACTAATGACAATAGTCTAATGCAGGCCGTAGGCCGGATGTGTCATGTGCTGGCCACGCCCAACCCCGGTTTAGTGAAGGGGAAAAAGTTGTGATACATCACGTGACGACAATGTGTTGTCGCGAGTTTGACACCCCTGGTCTAATAAATTCAGGTTTCATAGGATAACATGAAATCAGAACAACTTCAAAGTCTTTCTTGGAAAAGGAAAGTATTTTTATCAATTTCAGCAAAAACAGTTGGAGGTTTATATCACCTTATTATGGCCTATTTTACTGAGACTAAAAGTCCACTTCATCAGATGTATGCAGTATTACCCTGAGATACACACACACACAGAGAGAGACACACACACACACAGTGGGTGAACATAGAGATGGCTTTAGAGAAGTTACATTGAGGCCTTTAACAAAACATGGGCTTAGTCCAGGAAAACAAGAAAGCATAAGAAATAAATTTAAGTTTGCCCTCCCTTGATTCTCTCTGGAATAAGACAGAAAGAAAGGGAAACACTGTCAGGTTGCAAGTTTGTTATTCTACCCTATATCCACAAAGTAGCCTATACTTTAGCCTAAAATAACAACAACCCTCAAAGGGCTGACGTGTATTCAGTCATGGGTGAGATAGGAGTGTAGGAAAATAAATAGGAGGATGCAATGAGTTTAATGGAACATAAAACAATAGAGATATTCTGTGGACTGGATTGAATTCCTGCAAAACTATTTTTTGCCATGTGGCATATGTGCCATAGGGCTCAGTATTATAAAGTGATCAGCTCTCCAATTGTATCTGTGTCCTGATGTATGTATAATGTGCATTAGAATTGTATTATCTCATATTTTACATTTGGCTTGTACCCACTTAGGAAGAGATAGATGCAGTAAACTGTATTGTGTTGTGTATTTCATTGTTAATTAACATGTTTGCCTACTCTCAAGTGGGTAAATGCTTTGTAAAGATTTCTGAAACGTGCTGTTACCGCACAATAGTGGTAACCCAGGAGAAGAATAACTGTAATAATTTAGCTTCTATACTTCTTTTTCAAGCTCCTCAAGAAAGTTTCTCTAAGAATAAAACTAATTTTTAAAAATTCTATCCCTTCTTTGCCTGACTTTTTGTGCACAAGATAGATAGTGTTCATAATTTACCATTATTTAAAAAAGAAAAAAAAAAGGCTTTTTGGTAGACATGCTGTATAAAAAGATTCTGCCACATATTCCTCATCAATGCCATAAACTTACAGTAAGTAATCCTTGGGTTCCAGATGGCACATCAAGAGCTTTTTTTCTATTGATCACATTACAAATCTCCAAATAGTATTTCACCTGAGTTTGAGGTTTGACTGCAAAAGTGTGAAAATAAGTTTACATGGTTTCTTCATTAGTTTCACTTGCTGTTTGTACAAAAATATTTTAAATGCTCAGTGGTGATGCTTATAGTGACTAGAAATGCCTTTACCAACAAATTATCATTTACTATGTCATAATTGGGCATCTGCCAGCCTTAACCCCACTTTTACACCAAACAATCATCCATACAAATGATTATACAACTTGCTTGGAACAAGCACAATTATAATAAATACAATACATATCAATAGACTAGTTTAACAGTCACCAAAATCAGAAACCATATAATTTATGTGGTATGAAAAGAAAAAAATCACATTCAAATAGAAGTGCTTTGTTTATATTGCCAAGCATCCATTAGAAAATAATCTTGTGCGAATACACACAAATGGCAAGCCTCCGTTTTACCTGATTATGACTCCACAGCGTTCACATGAAGACTTTTTTGTATAGCTGCAAAAGGTTGGTTTTGAGACGCAGAGTTGAGTGCAGCTTTGATTGTTGAATTAGTCTTGCATTTGAGGGCACAAGAAGTGGAAAGTTATAGAATCTACGTTTTAGGCAGTGAACCTGAAGCTCTTAATTACAGGGTCAAGTATAAAGAATTTGAGGAATGCAGACTAAAGTAGCCTAAAAATTACCAAGAGCTTGATCAGGTGACCAGAAAGAACTAAAAGCAGAGAAGCCTTATATCTGAATGAATGCCTTTGTTCCTGAAACAAAACTTTACAAAAGATCTTCGACTTGAGCATTTTGTTTTTATGTGGATGAAAGAGTGCTCTCTGTTGGTGAAAAACTATCCTCTCCTAGGGAGACACCCCAATGAGTTTTTACGGTTCTTTTAAAGAAACCAAATGAATGAAACTACTGTGGAGAAGACCATTTTCTCCAAATAATAAATTTGCTAGGAATACAAAATGTGCCTGAAGTTACTCAGACCCTTCCCTTATAAACATTTATAAATAAGATCTTGAAATTAATGACATTAATAATAAATGTTTTATACACTATGAAATCATTCTTTTTTTTTTTTGAAATAAATATATGTGTGTGTATGCGTATGCTTTTTTGTGTCTATCAAGTTACTAGTTGGATAAGAAGAAGCAGGAACCTAAAACACAGAAGGGAGGACATTCAAAAGCAAAACCAAGATTTTGTTTCTTTTTATGACTAGTGGTGCTGGATGTGATCTGTTGTGTTTTATTTTTGTCCAGCTCAATTCCCCTGTAGCTATATGGCACTCACTTACAAGAACTAGAAAAAGGAAACTGATAAAGTAAAAATGATCTGTTACGGCCATTATGATAGGTTTCAGGCTGTGAAAAGGATAAAACCCTTTGCATGCAAATCTACATTCCAAATTTTAATTATTTGTTTTTATTTTATTTTATTTTTATTTTGTTTATCCATCTGTTATAACTTCATAGCAGAGAGAACATTATTTCATATACTAGCTTCATTCTTCCAGAAAGGTTTTGCCCAAGGTAATAGGGCAGAGAAAAAAAAAATTTTTTTTTGCAGTTATAGCAACAAAAATGTGTCTGCACTAGACTGTTTCATAAGAAGTCAAAGGTGAACATTCCAGAATTATAATGCACTGCCAAATGTGGTTTATTCAAACTTCCCCCTAATACTTAACTTATACCCATTTTTGCAACAAAAATAACTCCTCTTATTAACTGAACAAGAATTTTATCTGCCTTTATGACATCATGATAGGTCTTTTTAAAAAAATGCATTCTTTAACTTGCTGGTCTGTTGAATTTTTTTTGCCTTAAGGAGAACATATTCACTTTATCTGTCTTAGATCTTGAAGGAACCTTTTGTTCTACATCTGCATGGGTCAACTTCATGTAAAGCTATATCAGAGAATGGAATGGTTTCTTCACCAGTGTGGCAGTCAGAATTAAGGTTCCAAATCATAGTAAGGAATGATGAATTCTCCCTCATTCTTGTTGTTTTATTCTTTCTTCCAGCATTCAGTATATTGCCTGGTGTTCAACATATAGCTCTGCAGTCCTAAGTACCCAATTTTACTTAAGCTTTCCAAATTAATTTTTACTTGAGTTCTCTCTGATAAAATTATAAATCGTGGATTGGGGAATCCTACTTTGTGTATGTTATGTTACTCAGGACACAGATGTCAAACATACAGTTTTATATATTTTCTGAGAGCAGAATGTCATCAGAATTTATGTTCTGCCTAACTCATCAAAACAAAGACTGCCAGTCTGCTGAAAGAAGGCATTCCTCGATTGATTTCCTTATGCCTCTTATTAGTGCCATTTAGAAGATAATACACTTGCCATCATGTGAAGACTAAAGTAGTAACCAACAATTCCCATGCTGGAGATTACCATTATATAAACATATAACTTCTTGGCTCCAAGGACACAAACCACAATATCTGGATATTTGTAACAGTCAAGAAGCCCCAAGTAAAGGCAATAAAGCTCATGCAATCTTCTCACTGATAGCAGGTAATCAACTATCATGTAAGGCTTCATTCTTGTCTACAATAAAGATTCTCATCTAGGACAGATATGTCTGTGAGTCTTCTGCAGATGTAGTTGAAAAGCAAAGTTAACCTGTAAACTCTTACAAATCTGTGATTCATTACTGAATCCCAGTCATGCAAAAACAAAAACCCTTAGTTTTTTAAGAGAGCCTAAACTCTTAAAAATTCTGTAAAAGAATAACAAACTATCAATGAAAGACACTTCATTGTAGATTAAATAGAAGAGTAAAACAACAATTTAAAGCATTTAAGAATAATGGCAAAAAACCTGGATTAGAATTTAATTTAAGAAAGTTTTTGAATGGATTAAGGGGAGAAACATTTTTGTTAAAGTGCTTTAAAAATAAATAAATAATGCATATCTTTGTGGAATACAGATTGCTTTTTAGTGATTCTTAAAATATATAAGCTTTTATGGAAATTAGAAATGAAAGAAGAACAAGTTAAAGAGCATATGATAAAATGGTCCAAGAATTTTCATTAAAATACATAGATGGATCAATGGGAGAAGGAGTGGTGATGCTGTGTAACCCACACTTTTCTATCTTATCAAGTAGTGATAAAGTAGTGGTCTACTTATAAAGTAGTGGTCTACTTTATCAAATGCCTTACTGAAAAGTCAAAATAAATTATATCTACAGGATTTTTCTGGTCTACTAAGAACGCAAAGAATGCAATAAGACTTAATGCTATTGTTGTTGCTAAAACAAAAGTATGCCCTAAAAAACAAAAATGTTACTACTTCTAGTTTGAACTGACTAAATCCTCACCCCAACTGACTTGGGATCATTGAACTTGGTTCTTGCATCTTTGTTAGCTAGATAAATCAGATCATTGCAGCAGTTGTAGCTCACCTATTAAAAGTGCCATACTCATTGGGGTTTTTTCATGCAGTTACTCTACTTAAAATACTAAAATTAAAATGTGAACCAGTTTAAGAGCAATTTGTGATACCTTAGACTCAAAGTTATATTACTGTAGCTCCTTAAGAGTAGTCAGACAACTAAATAACAAGTGTACATATGAGGGTAGATCTGGAGAAATGGTAGAAGAATCACAAATGTTAAATTTTGCACTACTTTTTCATGTTGTTCATCCAATAATTATTCTTCTATTTAAAAAATGGGAAGTTGCACCACATGTTGCAGTCCTTAACAATATACTACCATGCAGATCACAGATCTTTGGGATTACATCTAGCAAACCTCATATAGGTTAGTGATGAAATTCTTGAATCTTGTGACCAGAATAACAAGAATGCATAATGATACCATCTCTTACAATTTATGTTTGCTCATCAGGAACTGTGAGGAGGTTCCAGATCTGTAGACAGCCTTACATTCCAGAAAAGTTTTAATACCAAAGATTTTGAGAGTTTGACTCAAAAGAGTACAACAGTTGACTCTGCCCATCACAGTTTAGTTGGAGTTCAGTTTCATAGCAGTCTCTCTGTTATGTTATCCATAGCCAGCTGGGTTGCTACTACAGAATCTTTATTATACGACAATACAATTTTTGTTCTCCTAAACCAAAGTTGTCCCTGTATTAAAAACCTCATGTTTCAGTACTTTGGACAGGAAAGTGGTGAGAGATAAATATAGCACCCTGAAGCCTTGAAGGAAAATTCGGCACAATTTATCTCTACTTACAATGAAATATCAGAACCTCCTTCACCTTCTAATAGTGTTTCAGAAATTTACTGCTTACAGACATCACCTATAAAAACATAATAGCATCCTTAATACAGCAAGTTCACATTTAAGTATCCATAGCACATCCCATCTTATGAAAACTCTCAAGTCTCCATTACTACCGTTAGATTTTCTGGTGCCTCAGAGATCAGCTTATAGGTTTTGACATGCAGCCATTTGAAGCCAAACATCTCCTATGTCAGGCCCACAATTAATTATTCATTCTTGAAAAAGCTAATACAAATGCATGTTGGTTTACAGTTGTTCATTACCTCACAGAAAGGGGGGGAGGGAAGGTTTAATAATTCAAGACAAAATGGTTAGCCTTTGGAGAAATTCTGATAAAATTCATTACAACTGTCAGAGACTCTGAGCCTACTTCCTTCCTCTGGTATGTGAGGCTGCTGATTTCATGTTCTGTCTTCTCAAACTAACCATACGGTCTATTCAATTATTCTGGCGTTGTCATGTGGAATCAAGCAAATAAATACCCTCTCCCACATTTCTCCCTAACTCCGCTATTTAGAAACCAGATTGCAGAACTTGTACCAGAACGTGAATCAAGCATCAAAGTTGATTTGCAAGTATCAATTAATGTGGTTGCAATAGTGCAGGGATACTGTTAGGAGTTTTATTTTCCCCCTTCTAAAAGAAGATGAGAGGTTCTCAATTCAGTTAATGAATAAACCTTTAACATAACAAAGATCATTTAGAGGTTAGTATAAGTCACAGAGCTTGTTATTAGGAATAGCAAAACAAGTTAAAAATAGCTAATACAAATATGTGAGGCTAAAAGAAAAGGAAGGTAAAGAGCCCTTAAAACTACTGTTTGAAATTGTGCCAAATCTGCATTTCAAAATAAAAACAGGTCTAGAAACCTTACATTCTTTAATATAATAAAGTCTATTGACACAATCGCCCTGACTCCAAAAGGTAATAATCTTGCGAGACTCAGTAGGTCAAAGACATCATGAGAAAATTTACATAGAACATTAGAAGCACAATAAGTAGGGACTATTTCTTTGAAGAGGTCCACATCATATGTGCCTGACACATTCTCAAATCTTTGTATGGGCTTTCTAAAATCCTGTTTTACTGCTTCATATTATCTTGGCCCACACAGTAAGTTTATATACTTACTAGTTCATATACTTACTGTGTGATCAAAGAATGCATTTCATCATAAAGTATAGCTAAATTAACCTACACCTTATAAAATCACTGGACCAAGCTATCATTATCAACTTATACCTAAGTGATTTCAGTGGGTCTAAAGCATGACTACCCAGTTTGAGTAGTGGTTAAAGCATCAGGCTAGAAATTGGGAGACTGTGAGTTCTAGTCCTGCCTTAGACACAAAGTCAGCTGGTGACCTTGTGCCAATCACTTTCTCTCAGCCCTAGGAAGATAATGTAAAGGCAAAGCACTTCTGAAAAAACTGGCCAAGAAAACTTGTTCAGGTAGTCTCTGCAAATTGAATATGATTGAATTGAATTGGGGGGAGGGAGCATGACTTAATTCTCATTCCACCCTATTGGATATGTCAACACACTGTACTAGAACATAACATTTAAACTTCGTATGATGGGTGAACTTACCCACTGTTTTTTTTTTTTAATGCTTAGTATTGGGTAAAAACAATGCATTCTTATGTATTGTTTTGGTTGGAAAGGGAAGCTAGTGACTCCAAAGGCAGTGGGAAAAGGTTTCTTCCCAAAATTGAAATTAATTGGTTAACATAAAATACTTTAAAAATACTTGAGAGAAGATATAATTTTTGTAAGGTGGACATAT